CTCCAAGATTCAAAACTTTCAGTTTACATATTTTTGAAGCTAATTAGCATTCTGGGGAGTAATAAGAAATGAAGAAGGTCATAGTAACGATCAATATCATAATACCAAATATCTAATAAAGTTCATGCTGCAGCAGTGAAGTAAAATTCAAAACGAAGGTGTCAGCAACCCTAATGGAATGACCTCAGATGTTCACATTCTCATCAACAGCGAAGCTGTAAGGCATGTCTCACATCAAAAGAAGTTCTGTATGAACTAGAATTATGAAGTGTGTCAAAGGATGTTTTAAGCCACGTTTACTTTATGAGTTTGAATTGGGCAGCAACGCTACAAAAGTTGCTCGAAAAAATGAGACCAACTTTTGGAGAGGCATAAAAGAGCGAGGGCGCAGTACGAAAATGGTTCAACTGATTTGCATCAAAAGAAGAGAGCCTCCAGGACAAGCCTCAAACTTAGCAAGCCCTATAATTATGATACCATTACACACCAAAGAAATACTAATTTAGAAGTCAAACAACAAAAATCAGCGTTATATTTTCAAATTTTCACAGGAGTAGTTTCGATGGTTTTACCGAACCATCATCCTCAGCTTCAAAAGTGCAAATGAACAAGATCAGATATAATGATTAGGTGAGAAAAGATAAGAAAGAACGGACAAGCATCAAGCTACTGGCGCTATCTGTTGATGAAACCAGAACTAAAACATAATTTCTTTAAAGACCGAAGGCAAAGATGGATTGAAATTAGGATCATTAACTAGAACAGAGATTTTTTTTAATGTGAAATGCCTCTAGAAAATCCAGTTCACCAATGGATGATATTTTTTGAATGATTTTGGCTGCAGAAAAATTGAGTGTGATTTTCGGACCAACAATGCTGGGCAACAGAAGACTTATGTGTTTCTAACATATGCCTCATTCTCCTTAACGCAAAATTTTATGGTTCTCTTATTTGACCCATGTAAACTAAATCACACTTGCAAGGAATCCTTTAAATACCCCGGGAATGCAAATCTGGAATGGGAATTTTATTGATGGGAGAATAAATGATCCGAAAGTTAAATTTCTGCAAAATACGTGCAACTTTACAGATAATTGACGAAAAGAATGGAATGAGAACAGAACTTTTATAATCTCCTAAATCAAGCGTGTGCCTTTTGGTGTGTTGAGAGAAGAATTTTTTAACTGCTTGAGTAATAATGTTGGGTGAAAAGCCCCGGTTAATAGCTACTGCTTTCAAATAATTTAGTTCTTCATCAAAAGGATAGTTTGGAAGAGCAAACATGAAAAGCACGAAAACATGGGAATAAAATGAAGCTAACTTTTGTTTAGTCAGATGACATGATTTGTAGTGTGGTGGAAGGCAAACTGATGAAGGTTTACGGTAAACCGTAGTACTGAAGTTGGATACGTTACGTGTTACCAAAATGTTGAAAAACGACCCATTGAAAAAAAATCTTCCCATTGTAAACATTAAGCCAATAATTAATATTTCTAATATTACTTTTCAGAAGAACAAAGAGAGAATTCTAAATATTAATTTTAACTTCTCACAAACCTGTAAACCCTCGATTCCAAAGATTTTGGCTCCTATCGAAAAAGCTTTCAAGTTCAGTAAAGTTTCAGATTCACAGAAAGAAATGATTAGGCATCTTATCGCTCATAATGTGAAATTCAATAATAAACCTTTGAAACCAAATCTAACTGCGAGAGAAAGAGCTACAATGCGCGAAATTCATTCTAACCCGGATATTATCATTTCAAAGGCCGACAAAGGTGGCCAGATAGTCGTCATGGATAAGAACACTTACATCGATGGTGTCACTAAACTCTTAAACGAAGGACCATATAATCCGATCCCTAAAGATCCTTCACCTTCGGACTTATCCAAAATAAAAACTGCGATCAAATCTTCGCAAATCATTTCAAGCAACTTAAAACATTCGCTTATCCCATCTGTTGCGAATTGTGCCAGATTATATGCTCTTCCCAAAATTCATAAAAGTGGTATTCCTTTCCGCCCTATTGTATCAAATTTAGGTACTGCCTCGTATCCATTAGCTAAATATTTAGTTTCTAGATTTTTTTTTCACTCTATTAGACAATAACATTTACACCATAAAAAATTCAATAGAGTTTGTAAAAAAAAGGTTAAAAACATTTCTCCTAGTAATTTACTCATGGTTTCTTTTGATGTAAAATCATTATTCACCAATGTCCCAGTGGAGGGTGCATTAAGATGTCTAGAAACCAGACTTCGCAAATTTCATTTCTCTTGCATCGAAATTGATGAGCTAATTTCCCTCACTCAACTCTGTTTGAAACAAACACATTTTGTTTTCCAAAATAAATATTACAAGCAAATTGAGGGATTAGCCATGGGAAGCCAGCCCCCTCAGTCCCATCCTGGCTGATTTCTACATGCATTATTATGAATCAAAATTGTTTGAAACTTTAAACTTCCCGGCATGGTTCCGCTACGTAGACGATACTTTTACCCTGTTTGAAGGTAATAAAGATGATTTAAATAAAGTTCTTTCAACAATGAATTCTATTGATCCTGCTATTCAGTTCACTTTTGAACTTGAGACTTGCAATTCTCTTCCGTTTCTCGACATTCTGGTCACACGTAACACATCCAACTTCAGTACTACAGTTTACCGTAAACCTTCATCGGTTTGCCTTCCACCACACTTTAAATCATGTCATCCGACTAAACAAAAGTTAGCTTCATTTTATTCCTATGTTTTCCGTGCTCTTCAAGTTTGCTCCTCCAAACTAGCCCTTGATGAAGAACTAAATTATTTAAAAGCAATAGCTATTGACAGGGGCTTTTCACCCAACATTATTAATCAAGCAGTTAAAAAATTCTCATCTCAACACACCAAAAGGCACACTCTTATTTTAGAAGATTATAAAAATTCTGTTGTCATTCCCTTCTTTCCATCAATTAGCTATAAAGTTGCACATATTTTACAGAAATTTAACTTTCGAGTCATTTATTCTCCCATCAATAAAATTCCAAGTTCCATACTTAAGGACCCCATTCCGGATTTGAATTTCAAACTTACTAACATAATTTTAATTACTTTTTTAGCTAAATCAAATAAAATTTATTTTCTTACCTTTATATCACTATATACATTACTTTTCATTTTACGATCATGCCCCTTTTAAGAGTTTGAAGGCCCAAACGGCTGATTCTAAGCACAGATTTAACAGGATCTACTTATTTTTGATGGACAAATTAGCAAGATGTAATAACATCTTAACAACATTTTTTGGTATTAATGAAAATGTTAATTATACTTTATACAAATGATCTAATAATTATAGTTTATAAAGTAAACATTATGCTTTACAAATGTTAATTATACCAGAAATGCTTGTATGTCACCTGTTGTTTAAACCAGGGCTGTGGAGTCAAGAGTAATGGAGTCGGAATCAGAGTCGAGCAGATTTTGTTGTAAAAGGAGTCGGAGCTGGAGTCACTAAAAGCAGGTCAACTCAGACTCCAGTTTTTGTGGGACAATTTGAATGTGAAATGAAATTAAAATGAATTGAAAAAATTAATGGTAAGATGAGTTATTATTTTATTTATGAACTGTATACATTAATAAATAGTTATTTTCTATTTTATTGACATATTAATGAATAAATATAAGGAAGGAGGATGGATGTGATATTTGCCATTAGTGATTAAACTGATTCATTTAGTTACAAATCTCAATGGTAAATTTAGGTGAGCTGAAATAGAAGTGAGAACTCCCAAAATTGATGCCATTCTTAGGAAGCGAGCAGGAAAAGGAGCAATTATTGCTCAAGCAACACGATGGGGAAGTACATATTTGATGATATGGAAGTTTTTAGAATTAAGAACGTTTTTAGAAGATGTAGGTAACTCTAATGTTTCATTAACAGAAATACTGTGGAATGATCTTGCAGAATTGGAAACTCTTTTTTTCTACACCATATATATAGCCACAAAAAAAAAGCTGCAATCTGAAGAATTGACAGGAGGCGAGAATGGAAGAATGGGATATTTGTTTTTTCTGAAATGAAGGGTTTTTTTGCAGAATGAAACATTTCTTCAATGAAGAAAAGAGAAACTAGTTTGCTAGACAATGAGATCTTGCTGGGTTCAATATATGTAGATTTGAAACACCAAATTTTCTTGGATGACGAACAAATTAAAAAGGCAAAGAAAGTCATCTATGAACTTTCATTAAGAATAAAATTATTCTCAGAACAACTGGAGAATTTGAATCCGGATAGTCAAACTATAGACATTGCAATTGTTGTCTCTAACATCCTCTTCCAGTGATGAATTAGATTTTAAGAAATATTTTTGGATAATATTGAAAAGGCTAAGGCAAAGCGAATGAAAATAAAGAAACAAATGCCTTTAGATATAAAAATGAAAAAATACAAACAAGATTTCTACACGGCCTTCAAAGAAATAGAGAAGTATGATTGCGCTTGCAAGACACATCTTTTAGAAGTTATAAAAATCTATCCTGAAAAATTAAAAGAAGTAGCCCTAACAGTAATAGCTCTTCCTCCTACTCAAGTTAATGTGAAAAGACTCTTCTCAGCTCTGAAATTTATCAAATAGGATCTATTGCCCTCCAACAAAGATCTTCCTGAAGCTATACTGTTTTCTTAGAAATAACCAATGTCAGTTTTTCCATTTCATAATAAATGCTAATTAATATAAATAATTTGCTATGCCATCAATTTTTTTCTGTAGCATCTATTACTTCTTTTATTTAAAAAAAAAAAAAAAAAAAGCTGTAATCCATGCATATGTGTTTACATATATATATATGGGAGAGTCAGAGTCAGAGTCTAGGAGTCAAAAGTCGGTCATTTTCCCTACCAACTCCACAGCCCTGGTTTCAACCCTTAAAAAAAGCTACTCCTTGAAAAAAGTACACCTCACCCTTAAAAAAAAAGGTACATAAAATACATGTACAATAAAAAATAAAATCTTTCACTTACTAAGATCAATGCTGATAGTAGGTTCAGATCGATCATTCACCACATCACTTCTAATTAAACAAGTTTCACTTGTTTTTCTTATTTTTCGTGATGATACATGAAAGAAGAAATCTCTGAAAAAAATTATATAATAAGTTTGTAACAAAATATGCTTAACAAGCTATAAAGTGATATAACAATCCATTGCATGTCTAATAATGCAGAGATAAATAAATCCTCCTAAAACTGAAATTAGTCATTGTGCCTTTATCAGTACATGAAAAGCTAGCACACACATTGCAAGTATGAATGCTAGTTACTTTGAATGCTATGGTTATTACTATGGCAGAGATCTATTGGACCTTTTCTTTCTTTTTGGATATTGCCTACCACTTGCAGTCTAGCTTTGAAGCAACTGTCCTCCTTCCCTTGCAGTTTTTCATAATTTTGAAAAGGCCTATAGAATCTGTTTCACAATTCAGTTAATTCTCAAAATACAGGAAGAAAATTAAGTTATAAACTTGAAAAAAGATCCAGCACGCTGATTCTAACAAATAATACTTGTGTTTAGAAGAATGCTCTGATCGTTAAGAGCATCACTACAACAGAAAGGAAAGCATTTTTTGGCAAGTCATTTCCACTTACATTTTTTCTGCCCACTAGATATTGAATAAGACACAATAAGCAGTGTTCCTCTTCAAATCATTCCCTTTTCAGAAAGTTTCTGCTTTTACAAAAAAGAAAGAAAAAAAAGAATAAATAGCAAACACAGCACTTTGATTTAATTTTGAAAACGCGAATTTAGAATAAAACTAATATGTTTTGTAACTGTATGACACTGTATGCAAATAACTGTGTGACAAAAATAGCAGAACATTTAAGCATATTTATAATATGTCAACTTTCAAACAACAGCTACAATACTAGTCTTTGACAATAAGGCACACAGATGTAGTAGTAGTAGAATGTTAGTGACTTGTCTGGTCAATGAATTCAATCGATGAGATTTTAAGAAATGATCCTTTTTTATCTCTATCATTAACCTAAAGTTTTTCCTAGCTCGCATCAACCTAAAAATCTACCGATTAAGACTAACACACTATCATTCGCATTACTTCTCTTCGATCATTTAGTGTGCTTTTAATCCTTACAGATCAAAAACTTCATTAATTTATATTATTTCATACTGGCTGTACAAGTTTTGACAAAAAGTCTGGTAAATGTGTTTATAAACAAAAGATTTTACCTAAATCACAAAAATGTTTTTACATCTGTTTAAAGTAATGTTTGTTGTTTAAAACGCATTTTTGTGACTGTACACAGTTACTGAAAACTACAAGCAAAAGTCATCTTTCAATACTGCATGGATAACCCTCATCACAGGACTTTTATACGTCTGGAATAACCAGAAATTGATTTCCTAAGTCTCATTTCAAGTGCAAGAACAGAAAGAAATTTACTACAGCAAGATTATCTAAATATGATTATGAGCTACAACACCTCTACAAACCATAAAGAGTTTCCCAACGATGGCCAGATGTGGCTGGGCATTATCATGGAGATGGAATTGTGGTTATCTCATGCTAAGATGTGCATGCCACCAGCAGACATCCTTGTTTTGCAATACCTACACACACCATCAAATGACAATGCATTGTCTTTACCATTTGTTCTGTGAAGTTTAAATACCAGGTAGTAGCTTCTGTGCTATTAATGAATAAGGCTATATTAATAAAGTTGATTGTTTCAGATAATATGGAGTCTTAGCTTGTAAGAATCAACAGCAAGTTACACCGAAACCCTTACAATGG